GAGAGCTTGGGAGAAGGTGAAATTTGAGGAGATTTTCAGTTGAGCAATTGGGGTAAGTATTCTTCACTCATATTTGGTTTAATTACATGATTTAGTCTTGAATTTCATCATTTAATTTGAGGAACTAGAGTGGAAATTGGGGGAAAATGGAAGTAAAGTTTGAGAATTCTTTTGGGGATTTGAATGAGCAATTGAGGTCGGATTTTGATGAATTTGTTATGGTTAGACTCGAGGATAAGGATTCTATTGATGTGATTTTTATCGGATTCCAAGACGTGGGCCCGGGGGCCGGGTTTGAGCAATTTCAGGTTTTTTTATGTAAATTGGATATTTTCGAGTGTGCTTTGTTCCCTTAGCATATTTCGATGGTATGAATCTGCTTTTGCTACATTTGGAGCATTCGGAGGCCGAGTCGATAGGCAAAGGCATCGCGGGCTAGAGTCTGGACCGGATTGAGGTGAGTAATGATTGTAAATATTGTCCTGAGGGTATGAAACCCCGAATTTCACATCGTTTTGTTATATTGAGGTGACACACACGCTAGATGACGAGCGTGGGGTCGTGTACTATTGAGGATTTTGACTTAGTCCATCCTGTATGACTATTTTACTGCGTATTTGATTCTGAAAACTGTTTGCTATCATCATGTTTTGGGTTGAATGCCATATTTGGGCCCCGTGCCAACTGTTTGGACCCTTAGGGAATTTTTATTGATATTTCATCACTATTTGATTTTATATCGGTACTTAGTCATGCTATATTCTACCGTTATCATAACTCAGCCATGTTTACTCTGTTTTAACACTTTAAATGATATTTTGGGTTGAGCATCATACTTTAATGTGCCCGAGTGGCTTTTAGAGATTTCTGACTAAGTAGGGCCGAGGGCCTGTGTTGTGAGGTTATTATGGGATCGGGTTGCACGCCGCAGCAGTGTTGTACTGATTTATGATTATAAGGCCGAGGGACTGAGTTGTTATGCCACGAGGTGGCTTGATATGAGGCCGAGAGCTTATTGATTATGCCACGAGATGGCTTAATATTGTGCTTGGGCCGTAAGGGGCCCCTCCCAGAGTCTGTACACCCCCAGTGAGCGCGGGTACCCAGTGTGTTAAGTGATATGGCCCAAGGGGCTGATGTTATTCCATGTTATTGCCCGAGGGGCGGTTCTTGATTTATGCTATGCTCAAGGGGCTGATTACGAGTGATTGTGAAGTAGCCCGAGGGGCTGGTTCTATTGATATTATGCCCGAGGGGCGGTTTATGGTACATGTTTTGCCGAAGAGCTGTTTACGTTTCTATCATGTTTACTCACTGTCTTATCACTCGTTTGAAACTATTGAAAATTATCTTTAAAAGGTTTTTACCGAAACTGAGCATGATTTACGAAGTAAATGATTTCTGTATTGTGTTGGAAATATCCTGTATTTGTTGTAGCGTTTTGACGTGGTTTATACTACTCAGCTTTTATTTACCTTTATTACTCACTGAGTTGGAGTACTCACATTACTCCGTGCACCTTGTGTGCAGATTCGGGTATTTCTGAACTCGATAGCGGGTGTTGATTGCTCGGAGGCAGGGTCATCGGAGTTTAACAAGGTAGTTTCCCGACGTTCGCAGCACTGCTTTTCTTCCTCTTGTTTTTGTTAGACTGTATTCAATACACTTTCAGACTTTTTTCTTGTATTCAGACCTTAGTAGATGCTCGTGACTTGTGACACCCTGATGTCGGGCTTGTATATTATTTCCGCACTGTTCAATTAGACTTACATTTTGAGGTATTTGATTTATTAAAAGCTTAAAAACGAATTATTATTGATTAAATGGTTAACTCGGGAGTTGTGTCGGCTGGCCTAGTTTCACGATAGGCGCAATCACGACCGGGTCGGTTTTAGGGTCGTGACAAGTTGGTATCAGAGCCTAGGTTACATAGGTCTCACGAGTCATGAATAGGTTTAGCAGAGTCTCGCGGATCGGTATGGAGACGTCTGTGCTTATCCTCGAAATGCTGCAGAACCTTTAGGAAGAACTTCACATTCTTGAACTCTTATCGTGCGTCCTTGATTCAACTTGAAATGTAACTCTTTGAATTCCTTCCACGCGTTCATATGTGTGCATGAGCGCTCGGTATCAGATATGCGTCGATGGCTTGTGATTCCCTGATCAAGGGGCGAGATGTGATCTCTGTGTGTTGATGTTGGGTCATTCTGGAAGACTTGAGGCCGGGTTTTGCCTATAGCTTGAGCACTGAGGCGTTGATTGTGTGAGCACGTACTTTTGGATTTGTATGTCCGATAGTGTCCCGATTGGTGGGAGTGATGAATGGATATTTACGTGATGAGTATGATACTGTGATGTGACTGCGAGATATGTTGTTTGCCAAGGATACAAGTAATTTCTTTTTCCTTCTTTTTTTGGTGGTCAACTGAAAGACATATCTATTTTGAAGAATTTCCTATATATGTAAAAGACTAATTAATGGCCTCATTTAGATCAAATGAATTAGATTACTTAGATTAGGATTTAGAATACACCTGAATCACAAAATTCACAGAAAACAATCACTATGAGTAATTTTATACTATGGACAACGTTGAAATCTTTATACGCAAATGGTAAAATCAAAGAATTTGATTTTATCCCCAAAATNGAAAAGAAGGGGGAGGTGGGGAGGACGACAGTGGGGGAAAAGAACACAGGGGGTGAAGGGAATTTTGCTGGGGGATGGGGAAGTGGGCCTGATTTATTTTCTTTCTTTTTAATTTGTATTTTTTTTTAGTTCTAGATTTTTTTAAAACAAAATTATTGTAGTCACGTGCGTAATTTTCGTGACTTGCACACACTTTGTCCACATCATCTCTGTCACTGACATATCTGCATGGTCAACGGTCAAATAGGTTTATTAGTTATTGGATATGTGAGTTTGAGTGTTCAAATGGGAATACTGTAAGTTTGTATATCGGCTTTAAAATCCAGCACAAGTTTAAGTGGCCAGAAAGTCATTATGCCAAAATAAATTTAAATATTTATTATAAAAATTAATTATTTTTCTTTTTATTTAATTAGAATATAAAATACAAAGTAAAAGTATATATTAAAAGTTTAATCAATATAAGATGTAGTTATCCAAAGCAACAATATTAGGTATTAGGTATTACTTATAGTTTATATGATAATTTAAATATATTAAAATATAATAATTTAATATAAATTAAAAATCTGCTTCATTACTCCTGTATAAAAGGAAGATATCCATTTACATTGGAGAGACTATTTCAAAGAATAATAGGAGAAGGAGAATAAAATAAATAAATAAATAAATAAAAAGAATGGTAGAAACAAAAAAAGTTAAATTAATGAATTTTATGCTTCTGCTTCTTGGGACTGAAGCTAAAATTTGTAGATTCTTCTCAAAAGTAGAAAAAAACGCTTCTATTGCTGCTCAAAAGGACTTTTTTATTTTGGCCAAGCACGTCAAATATTAAAAAAAAAATCTGATAAAAAAGGTACTTTTGGCCTCCTAGAAGCTTGGCCAAACAGGCTCTAATTAAGCCAACCCTTGCGAGCATTCCTTTTTTTTTAGAATCTTACGAAAATGTCCCAAATAAGTCCTAACTTACCAACTCTAGTAATTAATTATAAACTTACTAAAACTAGCCAAGCACATACAAAAATAGAAAATCCAAATAAATAAGGATTTTTTCTTTCCAAGAATCACACGCAAAGATCTCCTTCTATATTTTTAAGTGTGATCCGCAACATTAGATGCAAGACAGAAAGAAGATTTTATGGATGAGGTAGCAAATAAGGTGATGAAATTCCAAAAAATATATATATAGAAGTTTCAAAAAATCTAAGCAAAAAGGGATCTTTTTCAATGGGTATTATTGAAGGTCATTCAAAATATATAGATGAGTCAATATACAAAAGTTGAGGAGGATTGGGGGTGATTTGGACTGATTTGGTATCAAAATCCGTAGTTAAAATCGAGTGCAAAAAATTCTTTTGCGACACATCTATCAAACATGTATCACGCATGTATCTCATACATAGGTATACATGTGATACATATTTGATACAAATGTGATACATATGTATGGTGGTGGCAAAATGGTTAAAAGAAAACTGTTAACCACCCATATTAGCCACTAAAAAATGAGTTGAATAATGAACTTTTTAAAAACGGATCAAATATGGATAAATTATTCATTTAGAAAATGGATAACTAATGAGTTTAACTTTTATATTTGTAAAGCTTCAAATTGGAGGTTCCTCAAGTTTGGGACACTTGGAATTCTCCCAAAAGTTATCATATTCAAGAAACCATAGATAATATGGATATTTATATTATCCGGCGGTTAACTCATTTTTTAGCCGTATTAAATATAGATCGGGATAATTTATTCATTTTTTCATTACCTGTTTTTGACCCGTCCCATATCCGATCAGACCCGCCCGTTTGCCACCCCTACATATGTGATACACAGTATGATACACATATTATCTTTTTCCATATTCATTTTCTACTTGGAATTTTCAATTCAAACCACCCACTCAAAACTCTACCTATTCATCTCAAAATTGAGGTTTAAACTTTTTAAGGTGTATCAAATCTGTTCCAATAATATTCATTCAAATAAAAATAAAAAATTGATATTTTTTATTATAAATAACTAATTGGCTAATATTTTATGAATTGGCTAACTTTTATACTACTAGCTTACATGGGTTGACGGTAACTTTCTTTTATTATTTTTTTTATTTTTTATTTTTTATTTTTTATCCTCACTTCTTTCCTATCGTACGACCTTAGTTCAATACGTATAGAGTCAAAAGGGAAGGATCTAGGCTCTTGACATGCGTCACTCTCTCCCCACTTCCGTATATATACATAAAAATCAGTGCTCTTCCCAGCCATTATTTTTTCTCACTGAACAGTTTGTTATCTCCTCTGACTTCTTCAAATCCGTCCCGAATTCAACTCTCTATCCAAGGTAAATTTATCTGTCATCATCATCTTTATTCATTTGTGTTTATTAATACGTAAATACTCCGAATGTGATCGAGAATTTCATGCATTTCTTCAACTTCTCTGGCATTAATGATGATCCAATTCTAGAAACATGCTAGTAGAATTGTTAGAAATAATGATACGGGCGGTTGGTCATGTTTATTTTCTTTCCAAATTCGATAATTAAATGAATGGAATGAATAGCAAATCTTGACTGTTGAAAGAAGCATAGCAGAGATGCGGACATTAAGAGACTTTAAGATATAGATAAAACTACGAATGACCATATTCGTTAGAAAATATAGAGAATCTCTAGTACTTTTTAATTTATTTTTATTTTGTATGATGTTGGCCCAAGATGAATTTAAATGGAGAAAGATGGTCAGTAGGATTCATATAGCTGACTCTAGTTTGTCTGTGACTGAGGTGTTGTTGTTTTTGTTGTTGTTGCCTTTGTGTAATATTGGATTGAGATACCATGAGTGGAGTGACATGGATAGCGGAGATTCATAGAGTCGACCCCAACTTGTTTGAGCCTGATGCATAGTAGTTGTTGTTGTAAAAGAAACCGGTAATCTTGTGTAGCGTTTCATCGTTTCTTATTTCATTCAGTTATTTTCTGATAATCGAAATGGCACGTTCTGCATCAGCTACGCAGTGATTATTGAATGAAAGGAACTGAATTTTTTTAGTGTGTGTATTTTGTATAAGTAATTACATGTCTATGTAGGGGAGGAGGATGATCCCTATAGATTTGCCGAGAATCAAATTCTAGGGGATACATGCGAATGCATGAAGTATCTTAAACATTTATTACTTTCTGCTTTTGCAAAATCTATCATCAATTAGCAATATGGCAACCTTAAACTTTAGATTGTAAAGAAAATGTATGCTTATTTTTTTCAAACATTGACAAGGTTTTTATGCAGGTTACATAATCGATTATTAACTTCTGTTGTTTCTTATCTACTGCTTACTCAAATTGTCACATACAAGGATCTATGATCATTATGCTTTAATATACTAAATTGGTGTTTTATTCTTTGTAAAAACTGTATCTCTATTTTATAGATGATGTTCTGAAGTTCTAATCTGGAATTCAGAGGTAAATTAGAAAAATATGCAGGGAGAAGGAGATGGTAGAGACAATTCTAACAACTCCAGTAGTCCGTTTGATAGACTTCGAGGCATGATGTCCCGGATTTTTGGAAGAAAAGATCCATCTGATGACTCCTCCGTGACTTTTCCCCCTGACAACTCGTCAGAGTCGTCCATGTTATCTCATAGAACTCCACCAGCTGATTCAAAGCCAGCTGATAAATCAAAGGGGCCGGTCATTATAGAGCTAGATACGGATGATGAGGGAGATGTAGGGAGAGAAGCAGAAGAGGAAAATTGTGGTGTTAATGGTTCCAGAATGAGTAAAGAAAAAGCTCAAACTAATGCTTATAGTAACGCAAATCTACTCGTTGAGCACCCTGATGACCAACCTGATGGTAAGTGTTAGTTCTAGTTTGTTTCCTTTGTCCCTGAGTTGTATGTTTTTGTCGATAATTTTTATAGCATTCTAATTGGTGCGAATGCACTGTGCTTATGTAGCAGATCATAACAAGAGCAAAAGCATAAGCAAAGACGTGGCTCATAGGTTGAAAGCGAAGAAAAATGAAGGAGCAAAAGCCCAGACTCAAGAGTGTTAGCTATTGAAGAGTAACATATGGTGGGATAAATGGGGCATATTACACTGCCACTACCACACGTAGGACGGGAAGCGATGGAGTATGTTGTCCTTTAGTTTTAACTTAAAGGCATAGTTCTTCCTCGTTTAGTATGTTGTCCTTCAGTATCTAACTATCTGTATGTTTAGTATTCATGTGCACACGCTAAAAGGTCATTCTGTCTCATCTAAACTTCCGGAATTTACAGGACTTCCCACCACTTTGTCCCTGTGGTGGGAAAAGAGATTCAGAGCTTGATAACTGCAACCACATTGTTTTGCTCTTAATAGCATAGTCGAATGATGTTCACTGAGTTTTGACCGAATCTATTTTTCTCTGTTAACATTTGATTTCCAACTTTTGGCAATAGCAACATAATTGGTAAAATACAAGCCATAAGTGTCTTATTCATTCTTGCCACTTGCAGGGACACTCACTCACAAGGAAGCTTGATTCTGAGGGCAAGGTGAACTCAGTGCAGACTTTGCATAATATAGAAGAAGGTAGTATACCTAGATGTTCGGTTTTTAGGTCTCACTGAACAGTGGATTAAATGTCATGTAATTTTACTTATTATCGTCCAGATGAATTAGCTAGATTTGAACAGACTTGGAAAGGGAATGCTGATAAGCATCTGCCCGGTTGGAACAATGGGTTTGATCTTCATGCAAATGCAGGTTAGACTGAAATATATGCCTTCCTCTATTCTTGTTAAAGAGTTTATTGGTATGTATGTTGATGGGCTCCATTTGTTTGTACCCTACGTTTTTGTCAGAGTTGGATTTTCCCCTACCTATGTGTATCTTATAGCTGTTAGACACTAAATGACCTTATTTGATGAGGATGTTCTCCATGCAGATAGGCCAAATAAGTTTTATTCATTAGGTAGTGATAGTACAGACTTATTTCAAATTGACCAAACACATTTTAAGGAAAGACACAGATTAAGATAGGTCATTCTTCCTGCATATATGCTCAATTTCTCCGCAAATAAATAATACTCTAAGAATCATTTCGACATTGTAGAAATAACTTGTATTGAACTAATTGTAGACAATAACGGCTCCTCTTTTGGAGTTTTATGCTACTCGGAATTAGATAAGTTTAAGCTACATGAAATAAGTATTGTTATTAGGGGAAATTACCTAAGTACGGAGATTATTAATTGTGACAGAATTAAGAATGTTCTATACTATTAATCTGGATGTATCCTAATATGTTATGACATAAATATTCTCAACTTCAAACCAACTTTTCCAAAGTCAAGGTAATGAAGCAACTTCAGTTTGCAAATTATAACTTAAAAGTCAAGTTGAATATGCAAGAAATGATAACTTGGCAATGCCCTGACACAAAAACAACTAGTTTGTGACACCAAAGTGAAGCTGTGAAACATGACTGTATTTGAGGACATGCTGCTGCCGGCCTAACTAGAGCTATGAACAAAAACAAGTACTGCCAGCTTGGCGCCTTGGCCAAGTCCTGGCTATTCATGACGTTGACTTGGTAGAGATGTAACACTGATATATGATGCTGACTAGAGATGTTGACTTGGATGTTGACTTGTTGTGATGATGATATGTCAGTTAACTGGGATGGCTGTCGACTTGACAAGATTATAGATGTGGACTAATAATATCACTCCTGGACTAATGTGAACATCGAAACGTGACACATGGTACCAAAACAATGTTGAAAGTGATAGTAGGAAAGAATGATGCACCCGAACTGGTTACAGATAGGAGATAAGAGTAGTGAAATTATGAAAAGAATGAAAAACTTTGTCGATACAGGTGTAAGACCATCCACCGTAGGGTGAAGTTATTTATGTCACTACCAAGATCCAAAAGGCTCTAATACTATGTGAAATAGGTGGAAAGAAGAGAGATCTTGTATTGAATTGATTGTAGATGATATTTAAGCAGTTCCATATAAAGGAGTTTAGGCTACTAGAAGTAAGGCAAGTTTGGATTACATGATATAAGGAGAGTCACTAAATAAGAAGAATAACCAAACATAAATATTTCTAAATCCGACAGAATTTGGAAGAATACTATATGCTATATTAAGCTAAATATCTTCTAACATTTTACTTCATTTATTCTCTCAATTTTCAGTAGTTATAAGGATATTCGTGTGAGAACAAAAGATGTTATCCCTCAAATTAAGTTACTTTAGGTTATTTAAAAGGAACACACTTTAAATAATGTGGTTAATGTTCCACGGCAAGTTACTGCAGGTAGGCTTGCTAGCTGGGATGTACGGGTAGATCTCTTGTGCTCTCTGTCAAACTCAACATGAATGTAGAGATCACTTATATGGAAATTATAGATTTACTAAAGCTTTAGGTTTGGACGAAGAGTCAACCCTTTTCAGCAGCTACATGTTAGCAGCAAATACAATGGGCTGTCAAGAGTGCCAAGGGCAGATCGCAATCAGCTCAAGTCTTTAGAATGATTTATGTAGAAGTCAGTCATGCTGTTTGGATGGAAAGAAACCAAAGGATATTTGAAGGAATCAGTAGAGAAGTAGTCAGTATTACTAGAAACATTGCTTATCTATGTACTGTTAGAGCTTCCCCAGGGATTAGAAGTCTGGTGCAATCGTGGAGTTTTACTGTAGTGCTGATTGATAGATGCGTTTCCTTTCTGTGTAACTAATTTATTGATTGGGAGATATCCTCCCTAGGAGGTGAGCTCTCAATCCATCAAGTACAGGCAGAGTGCTTTAGTTTTACTAGTTCTTGTCGTTTTGGATGGCTGGTTGTGTTAGTTCAGCTTGGTTTTGTAAATTCCGTACTTGGTGATCAATTAAAAATTTAATTACCAAAAAAAAAAACGAAACCCCTTTTAAGAGTAAAAGATCCTTGGCAAGGTATGATTATAATTTATAAGTTATATTTAGCACGACTTTTGTTTAGTGGCAGTTTATTTTTAGTAAAAAGTTTTGCAGGTTTTATTGTGGTCCTAAACTAGAAATTAGTTCAATAGTAAGATCCATTTTGGAAATTGACTTGTTTTGAATATTTGTGTCTCGCTAAGATTCTAGAAGCCAGTCATGGTTGCTTCCTTCAGTGCTAGAACTGGCAGAAAATACTGTAGGAATATCTGCTGGTAATCTCTTGTTGATTCCAAGTACTTAGGTTCGACACTTTGCTCATGATTTGACAACATAATGGAGTGGAAAGCATTAAGCAAACATTTGTTGCCCATATTCATTCTTAGTTATGACAAGTCAAATCATCTATACAAAATTGCTTAGGTTTATGTAGTATCAGAAGTGGAAAAGCAAAAGAGGGTAAGAAATGAGAGAGGGGAGAAGAAAGAAGGGGGGGGAGAGAGATTGGAGAAAGGAGGGGATAAGGGAGACGGGTTAATAGTTCCAATGAACAATCAGAACTTTTGACAAGAGTGTTAGATTAAACATATTTCTTGCTAAGAGATAATGTTATTTCTAGTTAACATGTATGACTATTTCTAATTGAAAGATAAAGATAAATACTTGTAGAAAAAAGGATGGACATTATGAAACATGGCCAAGTGATAATGGTATCTTGTATGATCTACATCGTCTTGGATTGACAATGTCCAAATGGAATTCCAAGCTTTATAGGACACGTAGATTGTATATATCTAAAATCTACTATGCACTTTAAATATTGTATATAAAATTGTAAAGCAATAGGTTAAAACAATGGGTGGATTGACTCAAGATGTATATAAATTGTCTTTGGGTGCTCTTTTACACCGAATGTGAGATCTTATATATCTCAACAACCTTCTGCACCATAGGCCACTTGTATATCCCAACATGCTTCTGCATGTGTAATTCAATCTTTGTGATTCATACATAGACTTGAATGCAAATTTAGGAATATGACACAGGCTTATCAAAAGTTGACTCTGATACTAATGCAGAAGAACTCAAGTATCGAACCCAAAATATTAATCTAGTATGAACGAATGACACAATAACTTTATAAGCCTTTTAGATGTTCTTTACATCTAGTGCGAGACACTTAACACGTATATGGTCGTACTAAGGTGATCTAACATATGCAAGGGTTTGAGATGCTCTTGACTTGCTTGCTCCTTTTGTTGTTTTCTCATCTCACCATATTGGACATATAGTTCTATAAATGGGGACAATATCGAACACGTAACATGCCTGTGTAGTAAAACTTACTAGCATGTAATAATGATCTTTGTTTTGAGGAAAGAGCTGGCTCAGGAAATAATCTACAAAAAGATCCGTGCCCTTTTAAAACATGGTTTTTCGGCCCCAGGGTTGTTGCCACTTTCATCCTAATCTATATCCAATACTCATGCATACTTTGCATTGTGCATTTTGCAGGAACAAGTAATCATTCGTTAACGAACTGGAATCCTGGGTTTGGAAATCCATTTGGAGGTCTGAGACCAAATAGCAATAACCAGCCGGAGCCTTCACGTGGAAGACCAAAGAAGATTGTCACAATCAACATAGAGTAAATGTCCATGCTGATCATTTGCTTAGATGCAGAATGTTCTCCACGACATTTCAACAGCTTGAGCCATGTCTTATTGCAGGAGAGAATCAATAGCAGTTAGTGTTACCTTTCTGGGAAGGAAATGTGTTGTTCTCGACGCCAGTCCCCCATTTAGGAATTTCTTCTTGTCATGATATTATATCAGTAGTTATAGTTCACTATCGACTGAGAGAGTAATAAGGCAATTTAGCAAAATGTTTAGCTTTTATCCACTGACATTGTAAGATCAGTGGCGGATCCAGGATTTTAATTCTATGGGTTCAGCCTTTACGAATTCTTAGTATTGAACTTATTATATTTTTAAAGTTATGGGTTCATACCCATTATATGTTTCAATTTTACTGAATTTTTATACTAAATATATACTCCGTATCGAAAATACCAGGTTCAGATGAACTCGGTACTATAACACTACTAGGGGTGGCAAATGGGCGGGTTGGGCTGAATTTGGGCGGGTCAAGATGGGTTCAGTCAATAAATGGGTTATTGCCCAACCCAGCCCAAAGTGTACTTGGGCTAAGATGGGTTAAACAATGGGTCATAACCCAATCCGTCCAACTTGACTCATTTTTTAGAACCATGCTCATCTTGCATAAAAAAATCTTTTACCTTAAAATGTGTAAGTTGAAATTTTTTTGGGGGGGAGGGANTTGAGGGGAGGGGGTTTTTGGGGGAAGAGGGTGAGTGGATGGTGCAGAAAAACAAAAGAACATAAAATTGAAAAAAAAATAAAAAAAATTGGGGCAACTAAATAAATTTCTATATAAGTTAGGTTGAAATACCTTTTGTTTTGGATGAGTTTCATGAGTTGTATTTGGGCCACTTAATGGGTCAGAATGGGCTATAAAATATAATGGGAGAAATTCAAAAATAGCCAGATTTACAACTGGTCGTTCAAAAATAGTCCAGTTTCAAAAGTAATCGAAATTTAGCCATTTTTCATGTAAAGATAAATATGAGCGAAAATACTGTTCAAAACCAGGAAAATACGCCAGTATATTATACTGGAGTTCCAGCATAAGTATACATAAACTCCATCATATTATACTGGAGTTCCAGGATAAGTATGCTGGAACTCCAGCATAATATGATGGAGTTCCAGCATAAGTACACTAGAACTCCAACATAATATACTGGAGTTCCAGCAAGTATAATTGTCCAGTATAATATACTGGAGTTTGGAGCACCGGTGCTCCAGTCTCCAGTATATTATACTGGAGTCATCAAAGTATACCGGCCCAACATAATATGCTGGAGTTCATATATAGGTGACCGAACTCCAGTATATTATGCTGGACCGGTCTCTGTTGCAGCAAAATAGTGGCTATTTTTCATTGACTTCTTAAACGCTGGCTATTTTTGAATGACCAGTCCGAAAACTGGCTATACCGTGCTATTTTTTACAATATAATGGGTTAACTTGGGCTCAACTCAAATTGACCCATGAGCTAAAATGTTTGTAACCCAACTCATTAATCTCTGAGCGAGTTGGGCGAGTTAAATGAGTTTGGGCTCAAATTACCACCCCTAAACACTACATACGCCTCTATGTAAGATAACATTCACTTGAAAAATTAATGCAGGTAACCATCCTGAAAGGTGGAATTAGTGACCTATAGACTAATGAAAGAATCGCCTCAAGCCAGAAACCAACGGAAGTTTATGAATGAAATAACTGTAATAAAACAATAAAAGTAGAAGAACAATATTGTAGAGAAAGAGAGAGAGGAAATTTCTATTAAATTTTGGGATGATTTACAATGGGGTAAGACCCCTCTATTTATAGAAGAAAAATGACTTAGCCACAAAGTAAAACTCTCTACAAGATAGACATTCACTCTAAATAGAATTCTATTCATAACACTCCCCCTTGAATGTCTACTCGATAAGTAATATGCCTCATTAAAACCTTAACTAAAATAAAACCCAATGGGGAAAAAATTCTAGAAAAGGAAAAAGAGTACACATGTTTAATAATATGCCTTTTGGTTGCCTCGTTAAAAACCTTTTAAGGAAAACTCAGTGGGACAAAACCTTGTAAGGGAAAAAGAGTGCAACGCGCATTAACTCCCCCTGATGAAAGCATCAATTCACATCCTTGAGCCTTCGCATCCCGATCTTGTACACTAGCTTCTTGAAGGTTGACGTTGGTAGAGATTTTGTGAACAAATCAGCCATATTATCACTTGAACGAATCTGTTGCACATTGATATCACCATTCTTTTGAAGATCATGTGTGAAAAATAACTTTGGTGAAATGTGTTTTGTTCTATCTCCTTTTATGAATTCTCCCTTCAATTGAGCTATGCATGCTGCATTGTCTTCATACAAAATCATGGATAGTTTGTCACATTTCAAACCACATTTGTCTCGAATAAGATGTATTATAGACCTCAACCACACACACTCTCGACTTGCTTCATGAATAGCAATTATCTCAGCATGATTAGATGAAGTAGCTACAATTGATTGCTTAGTCGATCGTCAAGATATGGCAGTACCTCCACAAGTAAATACATAACCTGTTTGAGACCGAGCCTTGTGTGGGTCAGATAAATACCCAACATCAGCATAACCAACCAGATCGGGACTGGAATTGTTGCTATAAAATAAGCCCATATCGGTAGTCCATTTTAGATACCGCAATATGTGTTTGATTCCATTCCAATGTCTCCTTGTAGGAGCAGAGCTATATCTTGGTAAGACATTAACTGAAAAAGTTATATCAGGCCTTGTAGTATTAGCAAGATACATTAGTGCACCAATTGCACTAAGATATGGTACTTCAGGACCAAGTAGCTCTTCATTCTCTTCTTGAGGCCGGAATGTATCCTTATTCACATCAAGTGATCGAACAACCATCGGAGTACTTAATGGATGTGCTCCATCCATGTAAAACCGTTTCAATACCTTTTCTATGTAGGCAGATTGATGAACAAAAATTCCGTTTGCCAAATGTTCAATTTGCAAACCAAGACATAATTTTGTCTTTCCGAGATCTTTCATCTCGAATTCCTTCTTTAAATAATCAATTGCCTTTCGGAGTTCTATAGGAGTTCCAATAAGGTTTATGTCATCAACATATACGGCAAGTACAACAAATTCCGATGTTGTTTTCTTTATAAAAACACATGGGCAAATGACATCATTTATATATCCTTCCTTTAATAAATACTCACTAAGACGATTATACCATATTCGTCCTGATTGCTTTAGACCATACAAAGATCTTTGCAATTTGATTGAAAACATTTCCGGGACTTTGAATTATGTGCGTTTGGCATTTTAAATCCATCGGGAATTTTTATGTATATCTCATTATCAAGTGAGCCATAAAGGTAGGCGGTAACCACATCCATTAAATGCATGTCAAGCTTTTCATGGATAACAAAACTAATGAGATAACAGAAAGTTATAGCATCCATAATGGGTGAATATGTCTCTTCATAATCGACATCAGGCCTTTGTGAAAATCCTTGTGCAACAAGGCGTGCCTTATATCTTTGTACCTCGTTTTTCTCATTTCTCTTGCGTACAAAGACCCATTTATAGCCAATAGGCTTAACACCATTAGGTGTTTGGACTACAGGCCCAAAAACTTCATGTTTTGCAAGTGAATTCAACTCTGATTGGATTGCTTCTTGCCATTTTGGCCAATCAAGTCTTTGTCGATATTATCCAACAGATTGAGTTCAAGATCCTCACTTTCTTGCATAATGCTAGATGCAACATTATATGCAAAGACATAATCCACCACTATATCCACTTGATTCAAATTTGTCTCAATACCGATTGGATTTATTGATTGTTCCTTATTTTCTTGAGTCTCGGGCTCNGATTTATTGATAGTTCCTTATTTTCTTGAGTCTCAGGCTCATTGATTTCCTCATGAATCTCAGGATTGGTTAAATCGTGAATTTCTTTATGAGACTCTTTCGTAGTGTCATCTTGATCATTTGTTTTCCTTTTTCTAGGATTTTGATCCTTAAAACCTAATGGTCTGCCACGTTTTAGGCGTGCTTTTGACTCATTAGCTATGACACTAGAAGATTGTCCAATAGGGACATCAATACAGATTGGAACATTCTCTGCAGGGATATGTGATTTTGTTATCCTTTTCAAATCCGTAAATGCGTCTGGCATTTGATTTGCTATTCTTTGCAAATGGATAATCTTTTGCACCTCTTTTTTACAAATAGAGGCACGTAGATCAAGATGAGATAATGATGGATTTTTCCACAAAATTTTCCGTTTGATTTCACCAACTTCTCCCCTTAATTTTGGGAAAAGTGTCTCATCGAATCGACAATCTGCAAATCGAACAGTGAATAAATCCCCCGTTAATGTTTCAAGATAGCGAATAATGGAGGGCAATTCAAACCTAACATATATTCCTAACCTTCTTTGGGGACCCATTTTGGTGCGATATGGCAGTGCTACAGGCACATATACTACGCATCCAAAAATTCTTAAATGGGATATATTAGGTTCATGACCCAAAACTAGTTGCAACGGGGAATATTTATGATAGTTTGTCAGTTTGAGACGAACTAGCATTGCTGCATGCAAAATGGCGTGACCCCAAACAGAAGTAGGTAGCCTCGTTTTCATGAGTAACGGTCTTGCTATCAATTGTAGACGTTTAATTAAAGACTCTGCAAGACCATTTTGAGTGTGAACATGAGCTACAAGATGTTCCAATTTTATCCCAATTGATAAGCAATAATCGTTAAATGCTTGGGATGAAAACTCAGCAGCATTATCAAGTCTAATAGACTTAATTGGATTATCGTAAAATTGTGCCCGTAATCGAATTATTTGTGCCATTAATTTTACAAACGTGAGATTGCGAGATGACAATAGGCACACATAGGACCATCTAGAAGATGCATCTATTAAGACCATAAAATATCTAAACGACCCACTAGGTGGGTGAATAGGTCCACAAATGTCCCCTTATATACGTTCCGAAAACGCAAGGGACTCAATTCCAACCTTTGTTGGTGATAGTCTAATAATTAACTTGTCTTGATAACAAGAAGTGCAAGAAAATTCATTATTTAAAAGAATCTTTAAATTCTTTAATGAATGCCCATTTGAGTTTTCTATAATTCGTCTCATCATAATTGATCCAGGGTGTCCCAATCGATCATGCCAAAGTACAAAAGTATTGGAATCAGTAACTTTTTGGTTTACGGTAGAATATGCCTCAATTGCACTAATTCTTGTCCAATACATGCCATAAGATAAAGAAGGGAACTTCTCAATAACCTTCTTTTGGCCAGAGACATTCTTGGTAATGATGAGATA